GGGTTTGGCACTGCTCGGGGCGGGGAGGGGGGTCTCCACACGCTCTGCCTGACCTTGCCTCCGCAGACCCTCCAGACCCCCCCAACAACCTGACCTGCAGCATCCACGAGTACTCAGGGCAGCTGGCGTGCACGTGGGACGCGGGGCGGCCCACCCACCTGCACACCCACTACACCCTCCACCTGCGCAGGTAAGACCCCACAGAACTGGGGGGGGCTGCGACGCGACGAACTGGTGCCCAGCGTGTGATGGGGGCGCGGCGGCCACGAACTGGGGTGACAGCAGGGCTGCTCTGCTGCTGGCGGCTGGGAGCGGGCGCCGTGCCCTAGTTACGCTTTCTAAAGCTCACACCTTCCTGGTCTCCTGCTTGCAAACCGCACGTTAAACCACGGGTTTAATTCTGCACCACGGACCTGGCCCGCTCAGCGCTGTCGGCAGCCCAGCGCACGTGGCATCCCATTGCAACGCCTTGCAAACTTGCATTTTTTGCAGATGCATTGCCTCTCTCTGAGCAAAAGGGCCTGCACAGAGGGTGCAGCAGGCAGTTTGCACCTAACGCTGCCCAAAAACGCTGAAACTGAAACTCTAGCAGAGCTCAAAAGAACCTGAAGCGTGTGCGCTGGCTGCTGCGCGGCGTGACGCAGCCCTTCCGACCCGGGATGCTCTCTGCCACGTTTGGCACCAAAGCCCCTGTGGCACAAGGCTGGCAGGATTTCAAAGTTAATCTGACTCAATTATTAAAGTCAAGCGCCTTAAATCCCGTCACACGTAGGTTTTGTGAGAAGCAATTAACCGCCTGCCTAAATTTGTTTGGGTTCGAACTTTGAGGAACTGAGAAAGTTGCCTTCCTGTACAGCCAAGACACAAACGCCCTGGAGAAACGTCAAGAAGCACAGGCCATTATTTTCTAGTTTGCTCTAAAAGGGACAAACTCCAGGTCTGGCGGTGACTGTGCCCCAGTCCCGAGCTGTGACCCCTCAAGAGCTGGGGTTGCCTTTCCAGCGGGTGCGCGATGCCGGGATGGGCTCTGACCGGGGCTGCCTTCTGCTTCCCAGCGTGGTGCAGGCTGCTGAGGAGGAAGATGCTGAGGAGGAGGAGGAGGTTTTCCCCGCGGGCTCACCAGTGCCGCTGAGCACCCTGGGCAGCGGGACCCGCTACTTGGCGTGGGTGCAGGCCAGCAACACGCTGGGTGCTGCCCGCTCAGCCCCTCGGCTCCTCAACCTGCAGGAGCTTGGTACGTCTGTCTGTCTGTCCGTCTGTGGGCTGCACCCCATGTCAGCCCCCCCGCTGCCGCCTCATGCTTTCCCGGTCCTCCCCGCAGTGGTGCCCGCTCTGCCCCTGGTCACCGGCGCCGAGACGATGGACACACCATCATCTCCCACCACCATCATCCACTGGAGGTGGCGGACGCTGCTGGAGAACGTGCGCTGCGAGGAGCGACACAAAGCCATGGGCACCCCGGAATGGCATGTGAGACAGCCCAGGACACCCCAAAACCTCCCCCCCATGCAGATCCACGGGCACAAGCTGCCCCCCCGTTAGGGCAGATGCCAGCTCTGGTCCTGCTGGAGACCCCTGAGCACCCACGGGCAGTGGGAGCATTTGGGGGCCGCTCAAAACCCACCCCTTGGCTTTGGGACTAGTGGGGGGCATGCACCCCCCGACACAGGCAGCTTTGGACAGCTGGTGCCCTTGGAGAGGGCAGACAGCCTTTTGGGTGGCTCTGCTTTTAAAGCAAAAAGAGCAAAATTCAAAATATTTCCCGACGTTATCTAGCTCTGCAAAGACAAGGCGAAAACTCCTCCGAGGACGGTGGCGCTTTGGCCGTCACCCCCACGCACTCGCAGACACAAACACACTCCGGGCGGCTCCACCCGGGTCCCTTTTGGAAACCTCCTCAGGCCCTGGCAGGGGCCGGATCCCAGCACCCACCAGAGTCCCTAGAATTACCGTGGTGTCAGAAGCCCAATGCGGTGACAGCCCGGGGGGCTCCCTGCACCCCCCCCAGCAGAGGGGACTGTGTGTGCACTGTGTCTTACAACAGCATCAGCCTCAAGAAACACGTGCTGGAGCCCAGCAGCGATGGAGACCCCCTTGGCAGGCAGCCCCCCCCCCACCGCTTCGCCAGCCCCGGGCGCTCACAGAGGACCGTGCTCATCCTCATCTGTGCAGAGGAGGAAGGCAGCGAGCACTGAGCACCCCAGCTCTGTGTGGGGGGACAGTGGTGGCAGGGGGGGTTTGGCTGGGTCCTGCTCCCCCCCCAGCACTGTGCTTGCCTTGCAGGTGGCGGCGTGGGACGACGCGGTGCAGCACGGGCCCCGGTCCCAGCACGACCTGCAGAGTAACACCCAGTACGTGTTTCAGGTGAGGTGCCGGCTCAGCCCCGCCGACAGCCCCTGGAGCGCCTGGAGCCCCCCCTTTCTCTACACCACCCCTGAGGCAGGTAAGCCGAGGCCCATCACCTCCTTGGGATGCTCCGGGGGTCCCAGGCCCAAGCTCCGGGACGCTCAGGATGACCAGTGACACCCGTCACCGTCCCCACGGCGCAGCCGAGGGCTGAGCACCCTCACTAGCGGCAGCTCGCCTCACGCCCTCCGAGGCCCCCGGCTCTGCAGCGGGTTGCAGGTTTTGGTGACTCCCGAGCCTGCTGCGGCATGGTGGGAGCTGCAGAGAAACCAGGGGGGGCTTTGCGGGCACAGGAGGAGGGCTGGGGCCCGCTCCCCCCCGGCGGCAGGGAGCACCCTTGCTCTGGGTGCAAAAGCCACACCAGCCCAAGGGTCTCACGAACCACAAATATCTGCTGCCGGGGGTCAGCTCTCGCCCTCTGCACCTTGGCTGCTGCCGCTGGCATGAGCTGAGATGCCGCCAGCTCTGTGACCGTGGGCCGGGCCCCCCCGGCGGCAGGAGGGGACGGGCTGGCTCCCGCGGCAGAGCCCCCCCGCGGGTGGGAGCCCCCCCCCACGTCCCACGCTTCCCCCCGCAGCCCCCGC